GAGGGGCAAAACGATCCAAGTAAAATAGCTGCATTGTAAGGATCAGTAATGCTGTCGGCATCAATTGGTAATGAAACATACGAAAGGTGAAGTGATGTGGCGACTTGGGAATTTCTCTGCAGTAAGTCGAGTACTTATTTTACTATCGTTGCACGAATGCGTATCCCCTACGTCTGTGGCTTCAACACCTCTTCCTCTTCCTCTTCCTCTTCCTCTTCCTTTTCGTCTGCCTGTTACAATTTGTCCTGCTCCCAATGTTTGGGCAAGCTTACCAGCAGAAAGATGCACGAAGGTGATGTGAGATATATATGGGTTGTCTGTGTGTTGTTTTGGGTGGGAAATTGGCTTATGTTTGTATTCCAAGATTCCTATTGCGGGTTGCTTGTTTCTGTTCCATATTTGGTTGGATCTAACTGAAGGGTTTTTTTGCGGTGTGGTTTATCAACTAATGATGTGTTTCGCTTCGTATTGATTTGTTATGACTTGTGTCTGTAAATTAGTATTATATTTCGAGTAAAATACGAATTTTGTCCAAGTGGGTTTGCAAAATTACATACCAGCACATGCATTTTGTATATAATCCAAGTGGCAGTTAATTTTGGGTGTTACTTGGAGAAAGTAACCCAACGAACTCGTTACTTTATCTCCATGCCGATCGGTATATGAATTACGAGTTACGAACAGGAGTTGTGAAATTATTTAATGTTTACTATGGGTTTATTGTTAGTAAAATTATGGTGGGCCTATATGGACAGCAACGAAGCAGTAATTTAAAGTTGACAAGTTTAAGAAGAAAATCAAGCAATTGTGGTATTGGTTCAAATGCCTGAAATGGATGAAGACTTCTTTCGATGAACTGATGGTAACAAAGTAGAAAGTAACAAAGTAGAAAGTAGAAAGTAGAAAGAAAGTTGTTGTGTTGTTGTGTTGTTTGTAACAAAGTAGAAAGTAGAAGGGAAAAAACTACACAGAAGTTACAATGTAGAAAGTAAGTTGCCACCTGTCGAAGTGCATATAATTAAAGTTACCACCTGTGCCCAGGTCCTTTTAGTCTTTCCTCGACAGATAGAGAATCCCAATTCGTTCATGTTTCCTCTTGGAGGGTGGGCACTAAATCCATGAGCACTGCCAGTAACTGCTCCAGCGTGTAAGTCAGGTGGCATGCAAGATTCAATGTTAGTTGAATGGTGCAGCTGTTGGGAGGATGTGGGAAAAATAGGTGCAAAGAGAAATTTTTAATCTAATATCCAATCAGAATGTAGCTGAAAATATGAGTGAACTTTTTTTTAAAAAAAAGTAGTTCCCATTTTTTTGATTATAAACCCGAGATGTATATTTTGTTTTTGATAGAAATAAGTTGTGTATTTTCGTTACGTAAAATGTAGGACAACAATTGTGTTTAAGTCATTACAATACAGAAAAAGGTTATTTCAAACGTATTTTCAAGTTTACCGACATTGAATATATTTTGATTAAATTACAGGGAAAATTCAATATTTGGCAGAGTTTGATGATTCATAGTCAGGGGCAGTAACTGTGAGTGGCCAAGTGTTGCGGTTCATTGACCCAGTTTGCAAGGACTGTGGTTGTGTTTAGTGGACAATATTCTGTCGATTTTTGTCTCATAATGATGAGGGACATGCCCCACAATGGTGAAAAGGAAGGTCGACAGGGAAGAGTCAATATTTGGCAGAGTGGACTTGAAGATTCGAAGTCGGGGCAGTTACAGTGGCAGTTATGGTGTAGACGTGTGGGATCATGCAATGATGGGCCACAAAAACAGTATACGGATATCAATACTAAACCTCCACTTCTATCTGTCGAGCTCCCTTTTCTTGTGTTTATTTCACGGCCACCAACTGTTTTAAACTTCTGTCGACAGAGCAAGGCTCCTGCTTTGTCTCATGCTTCCTCCTGAAAGTATGCCCGCTAACTCCATGACTGGTGGTAAAAACTTCCCCTATCACTTCTAGGTGACCCACATGTAGAGAGCCCACTTTCAGGTCGTGGACATTCCTTCAGACTTGGCCACATGCCCTCGATTAAGTGGACCATCTGTCGACAGAGACTGGCAAAACTTGGTGCAAACAATGGCCCCCATGTTCAAGTTAAATATTGCGGAAGTGATTGAGACCCCCCCAATCACCACCACCCCCCCCCACACACACACGTGGGGGCTGCTGTTTGGAGAAGGAAAAAAAATAAGAAATTGAAAAAAAAAAAAGTGGCCAATTAGAGAGAGAGAGGGTCATGGGGGTCCAAGTCATATGATATTTAACTTCAACGAGGGGGCCATTGTTTGGGCCCAAAACAAACATAAAGTACAGCCCAATATAAGAGCTTTTAAATATACTGGCCCCCTCATAAGCTATAAAAGACCCACCCTTTCAACTTCAAACCAATTCATTTCCCTCTGATTCGAACTCCCCAAACTGTACTCCTTCTTCTCAACCATTGCCGTTCAAAACCAGAGCACCACAAAACCCTAAGCCATGGCACCGAAAAAATCTCAACCATCTCCATCTGAGGAGAACAATGAAGACCTACTCCGCTTCCCGGACCCTATCAGAGCACTTATCGCTCCTCTAAAATTTGCTGCAACCCTATTGCCCAGCCCAAGCTCTGTCGCTAAGGCTACTCTAGGCCCTACCTTCGCGTCTTACTTCCCAGACGAGCTAGCTCCATACTATCCCCTTGGTAATGGTGAGAACCTTCTTCTCAACCAAGCTGGACTCAAGTGGACTAACTGGAATGTCAGCAAAAACCCACTCAGAGGGTGGAGGTTACCAGACTCTGATTGGCGAAGCTGGGCCAGGAGAATTGAAGGTCATGACGCCAAAGTATGGAAGCACCAGGGCATTGCTGAAGCAATTAGACTGTCGACTAAAATTTATGACGTGGAGAAAGGGCTGATTGCTGCTACTGCATGCTTTTGGTCGCAGTCTAGTAACTCCCTACTCCTCAATTTTGGTATGATTTCCCCTACCATCTTAGATGTAGCTCACTTGACTGGTCTACCAATCTTGGGCAATCCAATTCATACTCTCCTTGAGCCTCCAAAAGTGACATTTACTTTAAACACTGACATGTGCTATATAGATTTTGCCAAAAAATACCAAGGCAAGCTTGGTTCCCCTGTCGATGACAAAGAAAGAACTGCTTTTTACTTACTTTGGCTTTGTGAGTTTCTTTTTTGTGTCCCTGGGTACAAGATCACGAAAGAATACCTCCCCCTTGCCTTGTGTATGCAAGACGGCCAACTTATGGCTTTAGCCCCTTATCTTCTTGCCACCCTTTACAAGGCCCTATTTTCCTTTGTCGACAAGAAGATTTCTGGCAACTGTGGTGGCCCCTTCTGGCTCTTCCAGGCCTGGTTGTATGCCTATTTCCCTGAGGCACGACCCCCACAACCTAACACCTTGAAACCTGTTTGCCACTCCTATGCTGAGCAACTGCTCACTTATAACAGCCATTCAAAACTCACTTTCACAAATCATCTTACCATGTTTTACAACCTTCCTTCGCAGAGACCTTCCAACCTGTACATGCCATTTCAAAACTTTGAATTCTCCTCCAGTAGACTTCGCTTCCTCTTCACAGACCCTTCTGATTTACACAATGAGCAAGTCCAAGAACAAAATGAGAGTTGGAGACACATTCTCACCTCTAGACATGTCTTGGTTGGCTGTTCCATATCCTCCGCCAAGCTATCCAGCTGCAGTTTTGAGACATACTGTCCCAATCAATGGTCCAGGCAATTTGGTCTTTCCCAGGCTATCCCTTATCCTTATTTCCACCCAACCATCCATGAGGAGATTGGGTCCAGAATCCACTTGAAAGATCCTACACAAGCTGAATCCATTCTGACAGAGAACACCAAACTTTTCCAAGATTTTGGCCCCTTCTTCTTCAAACCTGCTTCGGACTACTCGGCTGCTTTTGACCATTGGTGGGGACTTATGACTGCCATTATTTTCTGCAAGCCACTTGAAAGCTGCCTTAACGATACTTGTATTCATATTCAGGGCCGCATATCCTCGCCTTCCAAGCTTAAGGCTACAGGTATCCTTCCTTCATATACTTCATATCCCTGACTGTGTCATGCAAATTGTTTTGTTTTTTTCTCTACAACACTAACTTGTTTAACCCTTGACAGCCAAAATTGTGCCTGTTGCTGAACCATTGGTTAGGGACCAACGTAAAGGCAAGGATCCAATGGATGCAACTACTCAGACAAACACCCCCTCAGTTCCGAAATTAATGGCAGACTCTTTCGCAGCCGCGCAGACACAAGCACAGAGAGGAGCTACCACCCGTACCCCTGCTGAGACAGAGGTCACGGCGAAGAAGAGAGAAGAGCCTTCCACTGCTCCTGCTCTAAGCACAAACCTAAGTGAGTGGGATATCCCTCTCAGCCATCTCTCTCTCTCTCTCTCTCTCTGTGCCAGTAAATATGTAAGTAGATGATGTTTTAAGCTTTTCTCTTTGGAAATAAGAACTTTTGTTTCTTCTTCTGCATGGTACTCCCAAATTGTGTGTGTGGTTCCCAAATGACTCATCCAACTTGTTTTATCCATTCCATTAATATACATGGAATCTAAACTGGTATTCTAATGCAAGTTTTGATGTAAAGTTTCTATTTGTCTTTTTATATTTAATTTAATAATATGAGGAGAAAAACATGATTATATCCTGCTTTTCTCTTGGGTCTTACTAATGTCTGTCATCTGCATTTAAATACAATCACATCCATTTACACATTGCATAGAGAGAGTGAGTGTGTGGGACACACGTGCATGTATGTAGGACTCACACACTCACTCTCCCTATGGGTGTGTGTTGGAGTGTGTAAATGGGTGTGATTGTAGCATTACTATTTAAGTTTAGAAGCAAACTTGCCTCCTATCAAATTTAACTTTGAAAAAAGCTGCAAAGAAGATGGAGGTGACTTACAAAAAGTGCAATCAAAGTTTAATAATCGTTTGGGCACATTTGGTTGCTGGTTAAAAGAGAGGGATTGGATTAGTTATCCATGGTACCCATTTATCCCACATTTGGTTGCACAATTTGACAATGGGATAATTGGTTCACAGCTTTACTTGTTCAAGTGTGAGTGTGAATTTTTAGTTGTAGATTTTTTTCCCCTTCATGTTATCCATGTATAAATATTCTAACACAGGTTGCGATTTTACGCTAGAATGACTTACATCAGCTATTCCAGCAATTTGGGGTCGTAACCAAGGTTGTGATGCTTCGCGCCAAGAATCAGGTATGTTTGCTTGCTATATGGTAGAGAGAGGCTAGATTTATTATGTTTGAAACTGTTCCGAAACTCAAGAACTAAAATGTTTGTGTACATGCATGCCATGGCTGCAGGCACTCCTCCAAATGCAAGATATTCCTTCAGCTGTTAATGCACTGCAGTTCTACACAAATGTTCAGCCAAGCATAAGGTATCAAGATATAAGAAACATTTGTTTCTGTTTCGGGAATAAGTGGATTCCACATTTCTTGTAAATTTCCTTTGCTTCCGAATGGCTTCAAGGTAGCAATCCTTTTTTGTTGATTCAATCCGGAGGTTTTGATTATGGTTCAATTTTTTTGTTGTGAATTTAGGGGAAGGAATGTTTATGTTCAATTCTCATCCTATCAAGAACTAACAACTATGGATCAGAATTCTCAAGGCCGGGGGGAAGACTTTAGGCGCACCGAGGCGATAAGATCTCCTATAGCCTAAGCGCGAGGCATGAAGCGAGGTGTGTGCCTCACCAAAGCGAGGCGCAGTAGTAGAAGAAAAGCAAAATTATAAAATAGGTTGACTTTTCAACATAACAAACATATATAGAATTCCAAAAATCATAATGCATGCTTCACAAGCATAATAGAGAATAAAAAACAGAGAGATAACCCAATGAAGAAGCAGGAGAAGAAAAGAAGAAGAGAAAAATAAAATAAGAAAAGAAGAAGAGAAGAAAATAAGGAAAGAAAAAATAGAGGCAGACTCATGAAGAGAAACCATCGAAGAAGAGAAGAAGAAAATAAGAAAGAAGAAGAGAAGAAAAAACAGAGGCAGAAAGATAACCCAACCAAGAGAACCCGTCGAAGAAGAGAAGAAAAGAAAGAGAACCACCGAAGAAGAAGAGAAGAACTTGAAGAAGAAGCCGAAGTCGTGTCGTCTTCCCATTTTCTGATCGCCTTTTTTAATCTTCTCCACCTAGGGTTTTTTTTTAATCACTTTCTGCTCTCTTTTGACCGCGTTTGGTCATTTTATATTAAAGAGTTTTGATCCCTTGTGGTATGCCCACAAAAAAAACACTTTTGAAGTAGAAAAATAGATAAAGCCCATGAAGCCTGCACCTAGAAAAAAAGCCCTTGCCTCAACACGCGCCTTGCGTATTGTGCCTCACCTCGACCTATTTGAAGTGCAAGGCTGCGCCTCGTGCTTAGGCGCGCCTTTTAAAACACTGGTCTAATGTAGAAGGATCTAAAAAGAATTTTTTTTGGTTGAAAAAATCCAAAGATTTTTTACTAAAGACAAAAAATCAAATAACTCAATTGTTTGTTTTGGTCTTTAGTGGACTTTTTTCATATTATTTTCAATTTGTTTTACTATATTTTTAGTCCATCTAGTCGAATGAAACCTAGAAGTGTGAAGCTTTTGAATTTTTTTAAAAAGTTAACTAAAAATGAAAAAGTCAACAAAAAGGTCACTGAAAAAGCCAAATCCCAAATCACACCTCAGTATATGGGACGGAGAAACAGAGACCTCAAATTGACCATTCAAGCAGTGTCCTCAGATGCAGCTTTTCAAAACTAAGCCAAATTCCACACAGGCCGAAACTCAACTTTTCAAGGTACAAATACAATTCAAAAACCTGACTAGTCAACACCAGTACATTAAGCACAACTCTAAGACGAAAATAAATGCAAGGATGTCGTCATATTTAAAATTCTGGATTGTTACAAGAGGTTTGTTTCCTGTTGTAGATTTATTAATTTTGAAGTCATACATGCTGATCTATTTCCATCTCATGTCCAGTTCCGGGTGATTATTTCGCCCATTTGGATGCCAGTGGCAGAAGAATTGATTTGAATGAACGGCCTGAGCTTAGCAAGGGTAGTGTGGAATTCATTGCACCAGCTGAATATATGGTGCGGCCTCCGATGCCACCACTATATTTTTTCCTCATTGACGTGTCACTTTCCGCTGTTAGAAGTGGAATGCTTGAGGTATGCACTTTTTGCTAACAAGGATGGACTTGGCAACTCATCTTGCATTGTTCAACACCTCTGCATGCGTTATTTGAAATGTTTCTTCCTTTTTTTTTTTTCTCTATACATCCTTGAATTTATGGTTGCCTTCATTTGTTCTTTTACCTTTATTCATTACTTTCCCTTCTCTCTCTCTTTGAAGAAATTGAACTAGTCTGTTGATTCTTATGCCTGGTCAGCTGTGAGCCTGTGAGTGTGTGAAATGAAACAGTTGTTTCATGGATCTATGATAGAAATAATGATTAGGGCTTTAATTATGTTTTATAAAAATGCTCTTCATTCAAATGGTATAGTTTATGGGCTGGCCGGAATAGGTACCTTTTGCTATGTTATATTGATGGAACTGTTAATGCAAGGTGGTTTGTGACCACACAATAAAAAATGGAGTTGTTTAGCTGTGAACTTCTTTTCTTACTGTGATGCTCTTCCCTTAAATTCATTTGTTCAAGAATTTTATACAATTAAAGTATCCTTTTGTTCAATAATGCATTCTCTTTTAAATAATAAAAATGTGAGTTACTGTTGGACTGCAGCCTGCATGCGTTCTTTGCTGGGCTTTAATTTATGTTCACTGTCAATATTCTTTTGCAGGTTATGGCACAAACTATTAAGTCTTGTTTGGATAAATTGCCTGGCTGTCCCAGAACACAAATTGGGTTCATAACTTTTGACAGCACTATACATTTTTATAACATGAAGGCAAGCAAAGCAAGCAATGTTATTACAACTGATTATACAACATAATTCATTTTTCCTGCCTAATGCCTGCAATCATTTTTTATGTTGAATAATGTCTGGTTTTTCTTGTGCCAGTCATCTTTGACGCAGCCTCAAATGATGGTGGTCTCAGATCTGGATGATATATTTGTTCCTTTGCCCGATGATCTCCTTGTTAACTTGTCAGAGTCAAGAAGTGTGGTGGATGCTTTTCTAGAAAGCTTACCCTCCATGTTTCAGGACAATGTGAATGTTGAATCTGCTTTTGGTCCAGCTCTTAAAGCAGCATTTATGGTCATGGTGTGCTCCATTCTTTCTTCCAGCACCATTTAAATCTGCTGCACATCTCCTATTGTTGGGTTATTTTTCAATTTTTAAATACATTGATCTTCTGATGAATTTATTCCTTTTTTCCTTTCAAAAGTAGTTTGCCACTTATTCACTTAGCATTAACACATTCTTGTTCCTCTCTATACAGAGCCGACTTGGTGGTAAATTGTTAATTTTCCAGAATACACTGCCTTCACTTGGTGTTGGCCGCCTAAGGTTGCGTGGAGACGATCTTCGTGTTTATGGAACAGATAAAGAGCATGCATTAAGAATACCTGAAGATCCGTTTTATAAACAGATGGCTGCTGATTGTACCAAGTGTCAGATAGCAGTGAATGTCTATGCATTCAGTGACAAGTACACTGATATAGCTTCCCTAGGTATGCGTTATTTCGAGCACATTACTGGATTCACTTCAAGTGGACTGTACTTGATTCTGACATTGAAACTTAAAAAAATCAGTCATTGACATTTATTTTTTTTTTATTGTTATGATTAATTATGCTATGTCTTGGGGTTTATCCTTTTTTATTTTTATTTTTTCTATCAGCTACTCTTGCTTTATCTTTTTTTATTTTTATTTTTTATAGCCATTGCATACTATCTGTTTTAGCACCTTATACACCTTTGTATGTTTCACTGGTTGGAAATTTCTGAAGTTCTGATATTCATTTCATGTGAGATACTTCACAATTATCTGATTGCAACATTTCAATACTGTAAGTATCCTTTTATGGCTACAACTGATCAAAAAAAAGTGTCTTTTTATGGCTCCATCTTTTGCTGGTTCCTACACCATTGGTCAAATTCTGGGATTACTACTTGAGAGGAGTTGAAGTGTGTTAGTTTTCTTTCTCTATTTTGAATAGTTTATACTACTCACTTTATGAATGAGAGGAGATGATGTATATTAACTCGTCAAAAAAAGGAGAGAAGTATGCTATTTATCCCCAAAAAAAAAAATGGGAGATAAGTATGCTAGATTATACTTGTCATGTAAAATTTCTAAGTAGTTTAACAAATTTGAGAACTTGAAAGGTAGAGGAGAAGAAAGAGAAATCAAAATGTAATAGGTAATTGCACCTATGTTCTAGGCACTCACACTAGAGAGGAGATGAATGACACATCACTAATTGTAAGCTTCAAAAAAATGTTAGTTCATCACTATACGTAGAGGATTCTTCAACCTTTCTTTGCAAAATTAGAGGAATCTGGCTTGAGTAGGGAAACTTGGTGGTTAAGTCAGTTTGGAATCCGATGTTGAACTGGGAAAAACATTACACAACTTTGTGAGACTTTAGGATGAACCCTCCCTCAAGTCTCAACTAAGACCATGATTCCAACGTTAGAAACTGAAGGATTTGAACTCGAAAACATGTCTAGACTAACTAAAAATCATTTTAAAAAGACCCAATAACATGACTTGGCACTACAGCCCAAGTGCAAATTAATTTTCAATTTTTTTTTTTCTTGGGCTTCTTATTTCATGCATTGCACCCATATTTTTCTTTATAGGAACTTTGTCAAAATATACTGGTGGACAAGTGTATTACTATCCGAGCTTCCATTCAGCAATTCACCAAGAGAAGTTGAGACATGAGCTAGCCAGGGATCTTACGAGAGAAACTGCCTGGGAAGCTGTCATGCGCATAAGATGTGGAAAAGGTCAGTCAGTCTTGTTAGTCTGAATGTTGCTATGTTCGATCCATTACTTCCGACTTCATTTCAACTTTCTAATTTTGTTTTCTTGAATACTATTTGGATATTGGAAGCTAAATTTTATTTTGTTGTTATTGTTAGGTGTGAGGTTCACATCTTATCATGGGAATTTTATGCTTAGGTCCATTGATTTATTAGCGCTTCCAGCTGTAGACTGTGATAAAGCTTACGCAATGCAGATGGGTCTTGAAGAAACATTATTGACCACTCAGACTGTATATTTTCAAGATGCTTTGTTGTATCCTTTAGCTGATGCATAAGAAATTCAAGCATGCTTCTCTTGGCATGTGGCAGATGCCTTTTGGAAATTTGCTTATTATAGAAACTTCTTGGGCTTCACCTAATATGTCTACATGGTTCTAATTGAATTTCAATCCTCTGTAGTTCCTTGCTACTGTGTCCCATGAGATCAGAACCCCAATGAATGGTGTTCTTGGTAAGTTGTTGTTATTGTCCTTTATCATTTTAAGTCATTTAAATACATTGCTTTGGGGAAAACATTAAAAAATTATTTAAAAATAAACAAAGAAAGTGGGGTTGTTGAGTGATGTCTGTATATATGTTTATTCAACAGGAATGTTGCAGATGCTAATGGACACAGATCTGGATGTAACTCAACAGGACATCCTATAGCTATATCTGCAGCAAGAAAAGTGAAACATGTATTTGCTAATGATTTAAACCCCTTTGCGGTTGAATATCTGGAAAGGAATTGTGTCCTCAACAAACTTGAGAGGAAGATAGAAGTATGAATTTATCTTGTCATGCAATTATTGTTTAATGGTTTTCATAGATTCATTTTTCAATTTAGAAAGTGTGTATATTTATATATCTGCAACTTGCATTCGACGAAGTTGTATCATGTGGGCTTAATTATTTTGTTTTTGTATGTCTAGGTTTTTAAGATGGATGGAAGGAGGTTCATTGATGCTATGTTTGCAAGTCAAAAAGCTCAATCCATCACACAAGTGGTTATGAATTTGCCAAATGGCGCTGCAGAGTATCTAGGTATGTAATTATTCTGATAGAGCATAAATTCTCTTCTTATTTCAGCAGTGAAGTTTTGTATTCTGAAATTAAATATTGAGAGTTGCTCGTATAGCTTTTCCATTTTACTATGCTACCATTTTAAATGCTACTTACTAGGTGATGTATTGTGAAGGACTTCAATATTTCATCAATTATAGATAAAAAATAAATAAATAAATAACAAAAATTCTAATTCAAAACTTCTTTTCTTCTTCAATAGGGTTTCAGGAATACAATCTTATGCGGCATATTTACATGGGTCTCGCATCATTAATTGGTGTGACTCTCATTTTTATTGCAAATAGATAGTAAAATAGTGTGTTCGAAGTAGGGGTGTAAATTCAGGTCGAGCTATGGGCTTGGGCTGGCCAGCCCTCGAGCCTATTGGGTGCCCACCTCGAGCCAGTTTCCAAAAAATAAAGCCCAAGCTCAAGCTCAAGGGTAATTGGGCCTCGGGCAAGCTAGGCTTCAAGCCGGACGGCTAGGCTTGGGCCCTTGCTTGGGCCGGGCTTGATATTTTTTAATTTTTTTTTTACTAAAATAGTTCGAAAATGACGTTGGGTCAGGCAGGTCAGACCTCAAATTGGACAGGTGGGCCTAGCCAAAAAAAAAAAAAATGAGTCGGGCCCTAGCCTTGGGGGGTCGGTTGGGTCGGATCTTGTGCAGGCTTCGGCTCGGCAAGCCAATTACATCCCTAGTTCAAAGGAAGAGAAAAAAAAAGTGTATCACAAACTAGTTAGAGTTAATTGTAACTAGAGTACTACTCGAGTAGGTTCATGATATGTTGGAAGATCAATTGATGTTTCAAGTCTTAAGAATTATGATGAACTAGATTTGAGGGGCTGCCCAACGATAGTTGTTCTAGTTGGAAATTAGTTTACATATGAGTGTTTTGGGAAGTTGGTAAAAAACTAATTTTTTAACTTTTTGACTTTTTTGGTGACTTTTTTGGCTAAAAATGCTAAAAAGCCAAAAAAATTGACTTTTTTAACTTGTTGCCAAATTGAGCCATAGATTTTGAAAGTTATGTTCTACTTGTGGGATTCATTTTCCTATTTTTTTAGAAACAACTATAGATACATTATTTTAAAACCCATTGCCATGTTTTTAACAAGAACGAGGAAAAGTAACTATGGGGCTGTTTGGTAAAACTTTTTTTCAGCTTAAATCAACTTTTGGCTTAAATTAAGCTATGTTGGTGTGTTTGGTACAACTTATAAGGCACATATTATAGCTTAATTTAAGCCATATTCGGCTTAAATCTGAAAGTTGCTCTAAGGGTGCTTATAAATTCAGCTTAAGCACGCAACTGATCCCTCTGGGGCAAAATGACTTAAATGTCATTTCCAATTGATGCTAATTACAAATGTGCCATATATATAAACCAAGAACACTCATTTTTTCTCTCTCACGCAAACGGGAAAGGCAATTTCCGGCGAACCCAGGCGATTTTCGACAAATAGCTCTGTCTCTTCTCTCTCTCTCTCTCTCTCTCTCTCCCTTGTTCTCCGATCACTTTCCATCGCGATCTGAACCATCGCTATCGACGCCGGCGGTGAGATGAGAAGGAGGAGATCTGAACCATTGTGATCAATAGCGTGAACCTTAGCTCTCTCTTCCTCTTTGCGATCGATGCCGGTGGTGAAATAAGAAGGAGGAAAAGGAGAAGGAGAAGAAGGGGCTGCCGGCGTGACAACGACTCTCTCTCTCTCTTTCTGTGGATCAATTTGAAACCCTAGCGCCGGTTCATCCCGCCGGAGCTAGGGTTTTTATTTTTTTTTGGGGAGGTTTTTCAGTGTTTTTTTAATTAAAAAAAATAAAATAATTAATGAATAAAAAATAATAATTGATGCTAATTAATTGAGACTAATTAATTTATAATGAAAAAATGAAAAAAAAATTATACTAATTGATACTATTAATAATTTTACTATTAATTGATGCTTATTAAACTATTAATTGCCACTAATTACATTAACTGCTAATTTAAAATGAACTTTTATTAATGAAATAATTTTTTACAGCTTATTAAACTATTAATTTTAATTGATGCTTATTAATGAAACTATTAATAATTTTAATGAAACTATTTTAATTGATGCTTATTAATGAAACTATTAATAATTTTAATGAAACTATTAATTTTAATTGATGCTTATTAATGAAATAATTTTTTACAGCTTATGAAATAATTTTAATTGATGCTTATCAAACTAATTAAACTATTAATTTTTTACAGCTTATTAAACTATTAATTGATGCTTATTAAACTAATAGTTTTTTACATTAATAATTTTTTACAGCTTATTAAACTTTTAATGAAAAAAATTAATAATTTTACTATTAATTGATGCTTATTGAACTATTAATTGCCACTATTTACATTAACTACTAATTTAAAATGATATTTTATTAATGAAATAATTTAAAATGAAATGATAATTTTTTTAATATTAATTACATTAACTTTTATTAATGAAATAATTTTTTTAAAATTAAAACTGAAAAAATGACAAAATAATCATTTTTATATCATATAAGGGCAAAAAGGACAATTACACAGTAAAAAGTTATTTTATAACTTATCAACCAAACACTACTCTGCTGCTTACATTCATAATTTCACAACTGCACCAAACAGGTTAACAGCTTATGTTCACAACTATAAATTATAATCTGTTAAGTTATAATGTATAATCACTTTCCTACGACTCTACCAAAGATGGCCTATGTTAAGGGCTATATATTGAGTTATAAGAGAACTATCCCTGAACAACTAACTGCTTAGTTTATTTTTCACTAGTGTTGTGAAATGAGTTTGATGATTATTTCCTCTTCAATCTCTTTACATTTGTTCTTTCACTTTGGCCACAACTATTGTAGCCACGTGTCCTCCTTAATCTCTGCAAGTGCTCTCCTTCCACTGCCTGGATTAACTGCTTACTTGTTTCAACTGCCTGCAACTGCTCCTTCTTCACATGCTTTGCTTCACCTGGCCACGTGCTCCAAATGCAATCCTTGCACCAAGACACATGTCTACCTTGCAGCATCCTTCCATTTGAAGACATCAGCAAACTTCCTTGGCCACGTCAGCACCTCTGTCGATGGGCCAAATTGCACACTTTAGTACCAACAGAAGTTAAGAAGACGAGGAAGAAGAGAATGCAACTTCTCAACAATACCACAATGCATGGGGACAAATGGACTAGTATCATCGGAAAGTGGTTGTGCTTGGGATGCCCCAAACTGATTTCTGATCGGTTTCAATATATCTGCCTTGATTGATTTTGAAAAACTTGGTGATTTAATTTAATCATCAAAAGAGAACCTCAAGCAAGGTGAAGTGAGGCAGGTACTGAATCTTTGATACCAGTAGATTTCTCTTTGTAAAAGTATGTATGATTGTTCATATGTACTCTTTCACTACTTGTCCATTGTTGACTTTTCAAACCAGGTAGATACAATAACAGTTCAATATAATACTTGAATCAATAGATTGGACAAACTCTACTATGCTAACATATGAGAAACTTGAATGGAGTCCTTACTGGTGAGTTTGGTTAGCATGAAAGAGGTGGAAAGTGCAAAAAAAGATAAATAAATGAAATTTTTTATGCATTTGTTTCAGCTTTGAGAATGAAGGAGGATATTGTTTCAATTTTATAGACAGTAGGATTCCTCTTACAACCTGTACAACCCATGTGGGACTAAAGCATTTTGTGTCATTAATGAAATAGCCTTCAATACACACATGAAAACAAAGTTTTAAGTGGAATTTATCCATTTCTAATTGACAGCTTCTAAAAATCACAGTATGAAGATCCATTGCATACCCACCTACCTTGCTTGAACTGTTAGGGTATGTGTGAAGGTAGAATATCACATCAAATAAAGAATTGTTGTGCATTTGTCGACTTCCTGACTAGTCCCAACGCGTTCCTTTCACCCCTGATGATCGAATCTAGGTCCACCCTATCAACATGGTTACTCAACTTTGAAATTTGGGACAATTATGTTAGATCAAAATAATTACAAATTAATGAAAAAATTTATAATTATAATTATCATAATTTATAATAAGGGAAATTATAAATAAAACTCTAGGGTTTAACCATTGTAACAAAATAAATCTTGAATTTTTAATTTTGTCAATTTAAATCATAAATTTTTTATTTGTTTTGAATTTGAACCATTTATAAATTTTCATTAAGTAAAACTGACCGAAAAAATAGTATTTTAGTCATTAAGCTCAATGAAAA